AAAGATAAGGCTCATCATCAGGGGACAAGCTGCTTTCATACTCTTCATCATAATCATCATCATCCGCTGCCTCTTCTTCTTCTTGGTGTTCTTCCACTTCATCAAAAAAAGGAAGTTGAAGGAATGGGTCTTCATCTTCCTTGACAGACAGTGCCCGCTGTCATGAAGGGTCTGGTGCATCTGGCAGATTGACTGGCAAACTGTGCTGCTTCTTTTTTGAGGGCTCTCTGGAAAAAAAAAAAAAACTTAGAACACCCCTTCTGTTTCTTCGCATTTAGTTAAGTCAGATTCATTCCCATTCTTTCAAATAAACTTCAATGTCAAAAACTAGGAAAAAAGTCAAGAAAAATCACTCTGTTGTGAATATTTTCCCATTGAAGTCACAAATATGGCAACCTCATTGGCACGGAGGTTCTCTTGGAGGGATCTGACCTCTTTCAAGCTCATTCTGATATTCCCAAGCAGGGTAACACTTGAAATACAAACTGAGTACTGGCTGCACCAAGAGTGCTGGGGAGGTAACGCGCAAAAGTGAGGCCCTTATATGCCCTCCCAGCAAGTGCATAAATTCTTGGCTTTTATTCTATTTCAAAAGGTTATATAAAGTTTTTAAAAAATATGTAGATTGCTTTATACTTTTTACAACAAAAGAAAGCTCCCATCTTAGCCAATTATATATCCCAATGCCGAGTATGCACTGTTTTATTAAATTCAGCCAAAGTCCCAACAGACAGCAAAAAAGCAGGACCCCAGTAGACAGTGATACATTGCAAGTCTTGAGAGGTCAAAACCAGGGTAATAGGTTGACATGCAGAACAACACAAGGGCACTGCAGTTTGTTTACGGCACAATTATTCCCTTGGTACTCTGAACCATAGTTGTTGGACTGAACAATCTGCACTCTTACATTCCAACTGAGGGGAAGTTTGTTCATAGCACAACATGACACAGCTGTGATACGTTGTGCTGTTTACCAACTGACCAAAAGAGTGACTTAAACATAGGAGGGTTAACTTAAATAATTGTACATTATAATCACTATAATAGCTTCTCACGTCTAGGAGTATCTCCAGCCATGATTTACATGTAGCAAGATTCAGAGACAAACAATACTTCATGTCCTGTTGAGAATTTCTATTCCTTTTAAATGTTTTTAATAATGAATAATTTACTTTTTGAATCGTGAGATTTACGTTGCTTTTCATTTGAATATGCTTGAAACAAGCCTCCATAGTGCAATTATTCTCATTTAAAACAAAAGAAAATTCTCCCCTCCTTTACATGAATTTTGCATCCGAATATCTAAATTCAGAAAAAAATATTCGAATATTCCATAATTGATCGAATATTCAGCTATTCAGCAAAGCCCTAGTTTTACAATAGACGTATAATATGCCCTTGCTGACAACAGATCACCGAGCTAGTTTTAGTTGACTTTTTTAAGTTGACACAGCTGTGATTGGTAGTACATGTGGGTGTGAATAAATTTAGCATCTTCTTAAATGCACCTCGATATAAAGAAAATATTTACTCGGTCAAACAAAATGACTCAGCTGCCAGTACTTTTGAATTTCAGACCTTCAACCAAATCATGCACAGTGAAAAATAAAAAGGAACTGCCATTTATTCACACAAACATACCTGAATCATGTCAACCAACAGTAGATACATGCATTTGAATTTTTTAAAATCATCAATCAACCTTGCTTTATGCAAGGGTACCTTTACACACTAATACCAATAGACCAATTGTGCCCGCTACGTTACGTGACCTATATAGGGGGTATCAAACATCAACAAACATAGCGTCTTTCCCGTCGTAAGTATCACCAAAAATAAAGCTAACAGTCTGTACAATACTCGGACTACTACTGATTTGCTGAGTACTACATGTACCTGTATGTAAAAATCAGCTTTATTTTTGGTAAACAACGCTTTAAACACTTTGCTATGGGGTTTGTTGCTAGTTATACCCTCTGTAGGTTACATAATAGTGGGCGCCATCTGTTCTATTACATGTACAGTTTGTTTTGGTTTTTTTATACTGTGTTGTAACATGTTTTGTATAAAACCCTATTCAGTTTTTAAAGGTACATGTATGTTTTTCTGCACAGAAGGAAGCCAATGATGGATCGGCATGATGTAATAAAGTATGATTCATGTCCATTGGTTGAGAGAATTGGTCGAATGCCATCATTATTTTGAGATGCAATAGATGTCATTGTGTTCAAGTGATTTCAATTTTGTTCCCTCCAAAATCCCTTCAAATTGCAAGAAGGTTTAAAAAACCTGTCATCACTACTTGTACAGAATACGGCCGTTTCACGATAGTGCGCCACCAAGAGTTTGCAACCCGTTGGCCAATCACAATGCGCAAAAGTTGTAGACCCAATGCGCATTTAGAAAGGGTCGACAAATTTCGAGCGTTGTGATAAGTTGGCCAACGTGTTGCAAACTCTTGGAGGCGTCCTATTGTGAAACGGCCGTATTCAATCGTGTTGAACACTGGAGTGTTTCTTCCATGACCAAACTCTTACCATTATAGCTAGGTCAAGGGGCAGGTATACACATAGGGTATAATTAATGTCTTGCTCTGAAATCAGAGCTCAATTTCTCAACAGCACTGTCTTTTGGGTCCCTCCGTGCATTCACAGTAAGTGATGTTAAGGTCGCAATAAGCTGCACAATGAATGTCACTGCAGGGTTCTCGATGACCAAAATGCAGTGCATTCAAAGGAGTGTAGCTTTACATGTATGTGTACAAGTATATACAAAGGCAACCGCTCGCCCCAAGTTTACCCACACACGTTCAATACTTCAGAGGATTCTGAGAAGCAAAGTGTGCTTCACAGATGATTACTTAGCCCTAAAAAACCCAGGGTTCCTCCAGTGTTGTCGAAATGCATTTTTTTCTTTGCCGACCCTTCAGTTTTTCTAGTTAATGTCTTGAAATCATTCTGACACCAAATTTGAGTTATGTATGCCTGTGCTTGCAAAATGACCGTTTGTGCAGAAGGATTAAAGATACACAGGTACATGTATTAACATTTGGTTTGGGTGAGCAAATCTGGTTTGGGTGAAGAAGAAAATTTAAAGTTGCAATTTCATGTATAAACTTTATACAGCATATATTTGACTGACAACTGCCACCAGCAGAAACTGAAGGGCACATCTTGTTTATCCCAAAGGCCCTTGATCTTCCGTGCAGGGCCATGATGTAACCCCGGCCTTTCCTTTTGTTTTCCTGTTTTCTAACGAACCTACATGTACATGTTGATCCGCCACTGAGGGATAAGGTCTAATTATACCTTAATCCTAACCCCTTAGGGTGTGTGTAAAATCGTAGTGAAATTGGAGGATTTGGGACTGTTAGGGTTAACTCGCAGTATGTGGATGAGATGTTGACATTTATGAGCATTGTCAAACTGCACATTCTATTCAAAAGTGCAAGGAAATGGAATTTGCACAGAAACTTGTATTTCATGCTTTACCAAACTGGAAATCCTGACTGATGAATGCATGCATAGAGCAACATTATTAGTATTTAATAAGTAGATCAAATAAAAAAATGTCTGAGTAGAAATTAATGCAAGTTATTTTTCCACGCACTCACACACAAATTTATTCTAAGTAAATACATCACGGGGTGCAAAATTGGCATAGGATAAAACAGCAACATTTTCTCCTATGCCAATTTTGCCAACACGGTTTAGCCACCCCAACCACGACAAAAACATGTTAAACTCCTTGAATACATTGACTGTCGTGCATAATTTCAGGGGTGTTCCTATTTGTCAAACATTGTGCACATGATTTAATAGGTACTTTTTAGGTGTCTTTAGGTTTTTCCTTCATTTCCAATTACTCTGGGGAGAATATATCTATGAGATAACTTGTACATGTGGCTGGCAATAGCATAGTTGATTATTCCACTATTCCAGCTATGAGTTATCTGGTACTACATCACTCATCAATGTTGTAGGATGGCAAAGGAATGATAAACTTCTTTGATTCTCCATACCAGATATGCAATATATATTGTGTTTTGTGGAAGTCTTGACTGTCATGGACATTGTATTGTATGTGTACTGAGCCTTCCCTTCCACATTGATATTACATGTACAAAATTATGTGACAAAGTGCTGACAGTAAGGAATACATGTACCGTGTACCCCAATGAACTGTCAAGAAATCAGAACAATCATATGGAACTATGAGAATAATCAGACCTATTGTATCAAGAAATCCAAACAATTTGTTCACTTTGAAACTTTGAAAGCCACTGGGTTTTTGTTGACAGCTTCGGACAAATGTGTTCATGAAAAAAACACCATGACAAAATGGAAAGTGGGGAAAAAATTGTTCACTCTCGCTATTTAGACATTATTTGTGAGACTTACATGTATCATCAGTAATAAGCCATTTGCGAGTTAAATTTGAATAGAATCTGGTACACTGAGTTCTTGAATTCTCCATACTAAAACCACTACTGCTATACCTCATGATTCAGGGCAAGCTTTTGCTTAGTTACACAAGAGACACCTTGCAACAATACACTGTTCTCAATGGATAGGAATGGCACAAAGGAACCAGTCCATTCCAAAGATGGTGGTCGCTATGCAAAAGCTTGCCCTGAATCACGACATATAGCACAGTGTCTTTAGTTTGGGAATTCAAATTGTTACGTTTCTATGCAATCAGATAACACAGTGTACCAGATTTTATTCAAATTTATCTCGCAAGTGGCTTATTGATCGAACTGCTTTGGGGCGAATTGTTAATTTGTTTTCACTTTTTTGGCTTCACTTGGCACTTTCATTTTCTGAAAGTGTCACCAGAGGCAAGGCTAGTTGCCCTCCTACCCCCCCCCCCCAGTGAATACACCAATGTGATCAAACCTTTATGGAAAGCCACAAGTAAAAATGCAACTTCTGTCTTGGCATTATAATAAATTCGTTTTTCACTCTTGATTGGAATAAAGTCAACCAGGTGACACGACATTCCAAATTTTGCCAATTTCCAATTTTATTTCCAACGGCAAAACACAACAAATTGAGCATTTTATAGATGCATGTCCTCACCACTGCCAGCAGCCTATTTATGTTGTCAGTGATGCCAGTGTATTCAATCTACAATACAAAAACCTTCCACTTTTTCTACGAGTATACTCACAGTGGCAGAATCCGGTACACCTGTTACTTCAAGTACACTCATTGTCCGCAGTCAATTTGTTTAATAGCACACCAGTTCTGACAGTTAATAATTGAATTGCACTTGTTTGCATTCCATTCTGCAGGACAACCCAAGTTGGGCATGCCTAACTGTGTCGCGTAGGTTGGCCCTGCCCAAAGCTGGCAGCTGACAGAGTTGCGACATACATGTAACAGCAAGATCCGGTTGTCAATATGTAGTTTGAGGCGTATTACAAACAAAAATATATTATTAACAAAAATGTTTCTGCCATGAAACCACAGGGATGGCTTTGACAGCTGCTTTTCACATCTGCTTGACTGCTCATTCCATTATCCCAATAAAGGTATTTATTGGGGCAGCAAAAGCAATTATGAAACAACTGTTGCAGGGCGGTTTATACAGTACAGAAACAGCATGAAGGCCGTATTGATTGGGTTTTTTTGAGGGGTGGGGTTTGAATTAAATTTTTGCAGGCATTGGACAGGAAAAGCATCAGGGAAGTTACATGTCGAAACTTGCACTACCGGTAACGAAAAAGTGGGATTTAGCTATTTATTTTGTGTATATTTACTTTCTGTTTAACCAATGTTTCAAAAGCAATCACCCGGCAATCAAGAACTTTGAGGTGCACATGGATTCACAGATAGGCGAGGATGGAAACTGGGAATGATACTGATCGACATAATTGAGGCTCATGGCCAGTATATGTACATGCGTGTGCATCTCTCTGCCCTGGCTTGAGCCCCCCTCCCCCCGAATCTGCAAAAAGGAGACAGGTTGATGGGTTAGATAAGGAGGTTTGCTATAGCACCACGCAAGGATATCTCTTATGAATAAGTGTGGTTCTCAGATGAACTGGAGGGTACATGAGGTTTATGGGTATCGTTTCATCTTTGAACCTGATGTACATGCTGCGATTATACATTCCAACTAGAATTTGTTGCATTAATGCACACATGAATCGTGGGGCCTTGATTATCCGAGGTACATTGTAAAGGGCTGAATTGAGGGGATAACGAGAAATCTATGAATCCCTTGGAGGTTGTACCAAGAGCAACAATTAAATGCTGTGACTGTTCAGGACTTTTAAAGCAAGGGCCCCCCCAAGTTAGCCATGACAACATGAATATTGATTTTTGTTTATTTTGTACAAAGTGTTACGCCTACATGATTCAACAGAGATCTGCAATTCCACAATCTACATGCAAAAACTAGAAAAAAACCTGACATCCAGGAAAACATCTGGACAAATCCCACCGCCACAGGAATGAGGTTCACCTACACTCTGCGAACAGGTGCCTGTCGGGGTAAGAGTTAATATGCAAAACTTGTGGAAGAATAAGTGTCCATGAGGTCTAATAAGGCTGGCAACCAGGCTCACTTTATACTGAAGGCACAAAGCTGAGATGACGGCGTGTGCCTCACGCTGGTGCCACACCTCTATATGAACCTAGTTACGCATGCACATAGAGATGTCACATCACGCAGTTTCAGATCAAGCACGACTACGGCTAGTCAATCCATCCAGGAGTGAATTTACAACAGATCTCTCTGGCAGTTGGGGGTTCAGTAGTTCAGAATTTGTACACAACTTTCTTCACTCGTTGCCTTTACGTCTACTCCCACTTTTGTTTGGCTTCTGTAAATACTTGCTGAACTTTAGTCCTCTGAGTTTTGCCCTCTCAAGGTTGGCACAATTAACAAGTACAAGGTAAGTGCACGTGGTAGCTCACTGTCTAAATTGTTGCCTAATGCAGTGCAGAGGGGGCTTCTTGTAGAAAGAGCAAGGTGTCCCAACGTTCACTTCTCGAAACCACTATCTGTTCATCAACTTGTTTCCATGACGGAAGTCTCGTCCTTGACATGAACGGACGGGAAGAACAGTAATCCGGAGAAGGCCTCTTGTAATGCCCTCAGACATGCCAGGTTGTGGCCGTAGCCGCCTGCTTCGCCCTGTGGAGAGGCCGGCCGTACGTGCCTGTTGTACCTGCCAATAAAATGAGTGAGTTGAGAGGAGGAATGAGTGTGGATCAAACTCCTCTTCAGGCAACAGCAGTAACTGAAGCTACTCTGCTGTAATGCTGTGCACATCAGAGTGGATTGAAGAGCCCAAACCGACCCGAAGCGTTACACAGATGAAAACCCGAATCCAGCCCCAAAACCAATCTAAGCTCCGATCCAACCCAAGCCAACAAAATTAAGATAAACCTGACCTTAAAACACCACCAACTGAAGTAAAAAAAAGATTATCTGGGTCTAGCACATCGCCCCATTATTTGTCCGCCTTTTGTGCCTCAATGTGTCCGCGTTGCATGAATTCTTTTGGAAAGAATATCATGTGAACTCTTAATTGTTGGAAAGCATCTCTTTACTGGCCCAGTTGCTGTGTAGACGTTGGTACAGTAGCAGGAAAAAAATCATGCATCTTGGTCACGCTGGACAACGGATGCACTACAGTAACAATGTACTACAAGAATTCCAGGTTGTTTTTCTTTGTTTTTTGGTTATTTCAGTTTATTTGGGGTTTTCAGCAAGGTGATGTAACCAAACTGACCTGACGTAAAAATTGTAAATGCAAAACTAAAACCGATCCAATGGAAAAAGTGGAAAAAATAGACCCAACCCAAAGTCGGATTCAGATCAGATTGGTTTCTCGGGACTTTTGAAGTCCTGTACAGTGTGAACCTGTACACAGACAAACTATGCCTGAACAGATATTGGCTTGATGGACCTGTGTCTTACAAACCTCTGTGAGTCTATCTCCTCTGGGGTGGGTGCACTGGGGCCGTATGTCTCATAGTGCTCCTCTTCATAGGCGTACAATACCTCCTCCTGCTTAGGTACAGGCAAGAAGGTATCTTGGTAACCAAGACCCTGTAGGAACAGACAAGATGAGAAAAACAAAAGAAAACATGTAAAGGCTGTAAAAAGTCCCAGCCATGGGCACTTGTGCCCTATTTGCTGACAATTCTCAGAGTATAATGGGTTTCTAAGGCAAACCCTGGCTCATGAAGCCCATGTTGTGGTAAGGTCCGTCACAAGATCTTTCACAAATCCCTTCACAAGTCCAGTCCTGTGTCTTTACACAGGACCAGTCTAAGTTGCTACTTAGGGTGAATAATGACAAAGGAGTCCTTCAGTCACAGTTCACTTGAATGGCTTGTGACCCGGCTGAAGGCTGGATGACATGTGATTGACGTGCAGGGACCTGCTGGGACATGTGATAGTCTCGACTGCAACAAGGGCGGCATTTCACACTGTTCGCAGTGGTGTTACCAAGTAGAACGAAAGATGATTGGTAACTGAAAGAAGTGATGGGAAGGGATATACAGTCAAATCTCATTAACTCTAACCCTCCTCCATCCTCCAAAATCCTTCAGGCGGTTTTGGAGGATTGAGGGTGAATGGCAAAACTGCATGACTGATTGCTAAGGATGCCATGAGTGAAGGTCGTAGGTTAGACTTTGTGTTGTTCTCGCCCATTCGTGCATAAATTCAGCCCGGATATTTCTTTTGAATGAACCACACTGCTCAAGAA